GGTATATATTGATATCTGGACATAGTGTGACTGTGTAGTTTTGGTGAAAAGTCTGCTATATGAGCTGCAACTTTTTCAATAAGCATTCTTCGCATTTCAGCATTCCAAATTGCTTCAGGTGTATCAAAGTCTCCTAGGAAAATTTGTGCAAATTTTTCTGCTCCATGATTTTCTAAGTAGCTAATCATAGCATCTGGTAAAAGTTGTCCTAGTATACTTTTTTGCATAATATCAGAAGGTGTATTCTACAAATTAAATAAAAGCAATCAAGGTTAAACTTTTTTTATTTCTTTTTTCTTTTTTTTTTCTTTTATCAATAACCGCGTAAATTTATTTATTTATGAACTTACATCGTCGCCTCTGAAGGCTTGTTTGGTGTGAGTCAATTGGAGAAATCTTGCTATTGGCAAAACATTAGAACCAGTATACATGAGAATAAAATAGAAGACACCTGTTAAATAAACTTTGGAAATATCTGGATTATCTTTCATGGTTTCACATAATAATGTCGCGACTCGTTCAACAAGAACAGGATCAAAAGTTAGTAACAATTGAACAATATGTGGCAAACATTGAAGGTCAGAGAGAAGCCGCTTTACTCGAGGTAGTGGTCTTATTACTGCATTATCAGAATCTCTGCTTGGAAAGTATTCGCACATTTTTATTAAGATATTTAAAATTAATGTCGCCAATTCACTTTCATTAATTACGGAATTTCCTTTTGCTACGAGAGTCCATTTCAACTGAGGTACTTGCGATAATACTCTCCAACTATCTAATCCTTGAGCCCAAACTTTTGTTTTATGCGATATTTGGTTTGACACATACAAATCTCTTAGATCTTTAATGTTAATTGGCCCTTTTCTCTTGTCGCTATCATTGTAATACCATTCTTTCTCTATGATAATTCCCTGATCGGGACCAGCTTCTATAACGTTCGTTTGAGTTGGAACAACAGCTCGCGATGTGTGCAAATGTGCTAAAGTTAATAGGTCTACCAAGGTTCGTACACCATTTTGATCCATAATATCCTTAACGTTCCTTCTGTGTAAAATAAGTTTCTCAATGAACATAACAAGACGATCTCGTTCTGTCCTATCAATACACCGCTCCAACATTCCTACAATGTATTTTGTATCAGAGAATGGTCCAATATCTTCGTAATATCTTCCATAAACAATTGTCATAGCTTGTAAACAAAGGCACTTCATATCTACTTTTGTTGTTAATAAAAAACGATGGTATAAATCATTGAAAAATTCAAACCTGAAAGTCGCAGATGTTCGAAAATAGTTGAAAAGTTATTAAAAGACAAAGGTTGTAACAAAAATTGAACATTTCGATTAGACTCCTGTCAGATACCCGCTAGGGCGGAGTCCGGCATTAATGAGAATATCACATTGTTAGTAAAATAAAAAGGAAATTAAAATTATCAAAAGACTTACGATTTTCTTATAGGACTGTCTGGTGAATCTTTTTCCAGTAATAATCTGAGATAATAATCGCCTATTTTTACTTCGTCCGATAAACACTGATACTGTACTTCAAATTCGCGATGATTCCATGCAATTAGTGTGCCGCCAGACAAATCTTTATCCGAAGAAAATGCCCTTATCTCATTTTCCAAAGCCGTTCGAAGCTCTTCTCGCGTTTTATGATTCCAGATCAAATTTGGAAGAGCATGATCTTGACTAAATTTATAGTAAAAAAGTTTCCAGTTAGCTTCAGATTTCACTCTCTCTCTACGTTTTCTAAGAACTATCGGCCTTTCTTTAATTTTTTCTTTTCGTTCAATACCAACTCTAGCTCCCCAATGTTCAAGAGCATTTTCCAAATGTTTCTCAACAATTCTCATTTGTCTCTCAATCGCTATCCACTGAGGACTTTTTTTATTTTTTGCAGCATGATCTATAGCTATTTTTACGTTATCACGGTAATCGAGTCTTTCTTCTTCGTGAAATGATTCTGGCACTTTCTCATCCGAATCTAAGTAGTTTAATAATCCAATGGGCTATTAAAAACAATTTAATTTCAAATATTAAAAAAATATTTTTAATAGATTCATTAAGGTAAATGATAAATAACAACGAGTGAAACAAATGCTTCAGATTCTTTGTAATTATGTTCTCATTGTCTCATTCTCATTATCATTATATAAAAATATCAGTGCTAAGTTTATTATTTGAAATATTATTTTTCTAAAATATTAATGTATAATATAATAACTGAATGTAAGAAGTATCAAGAACAACTCCATCGTTATAATTCACAGAATGCCTTTTTTAAGTAGCATAATAAATTAGATTTTCTAACTATTTTATTCTAACTACTTTAGATATTAAAACGTAATACTTTTACAAATAATTTATACACAGTAACGAATCAATTGCTTTTAACAATAATGAATAAATACATAAATTTTAGATAAAAGTAATAAATAATATGTTTCAATATCAAGTAACTTTATTGTCAAATTTTTTTAATCAGGGCGCCATAACCACTCGAGCTATATTATTATATCAAATATTAAATAATTTTACAGTATTTTCATTGAAAAATATACATTACATCGGCATATAATTTTGTGCATAAATAATAAAGGAAAAGCAACTTTTCGAATATACCAACCATAATCCTTTTTAATAAACCCATTGCCGTTGGATGACCCGTGACCCAGAGTCCAACAAGATGTCGACACAGTTGCCTATGAGTCAATAATCTGCCGTCTGAACCAGTGGTAAACAAACTATTAAGAAGATGCCTGGGCAATGCACCTTCCGCAAGAGCCAGCTCTTGCATTTTAGCAGAGACTTCTTGCGCACCTTCTTCAATAATGGCCCTCATAATTAAACCAGCGCCTTTAACGATAGCCAAAGACGGATGCTGAAATAGTTTGAAAAGGGATCTTCCTCGTGCGGCAACCATTTCTAGCAAATTGTCAAAATGTTTGCCATCGGTCGTTTCACTGTATGGGACGCATAAAGCAAAAGTCAAAAGATCTAGCATTGCGGAGACTACAATAGCTCCCGTTCCATGGTTCTACACATAAGATAGAAAAGACATTGAAAAATGAGAGCAAAATAACATAAATGAAGTTTATTAGTCATTATGGAATTATAATACTTACAACATGATTTATCCACATCTCGAGTAAGCTCTCTAAAAACTTATTACTACTCAAAAGACTACTCTTATTCAATTGCTCTTGTCTCAAATCACAGTCGTCGTGCATTGGTTGCATGAGAGCACAAATGCAATCAATGGCAGCTTGAGTTACACCGCAATCTTGTCGTTTTAACGCTTTTACAACTTTATTACCGATAGCTTCACGAAAACCAAGTAAATTGGTAAAAGCTGTAAAGCCAACTTTACTGGCAACCAATCTTCTCAATGTGTGAAACTGCGCTTCAATTTCAGTGTCTGTATCTACATCCTTATTTACTACAGTATTCAATGCTCCAAGGATAATTTTATCTTTATTTTCCGTAAACAGTCCCTAAAAATGTTAATACTTTTTAAAATTATAATAAAAATTTTAAACTATTCTAATTTAATGTAATAACTAATCTAACATCACAGTCTAAACTTTAAATCAATAACTTAATATTTAATAATAAAACAATATCAATAATAAAAAATAATAATTAATAATAATTATTGAGAATGTTATTTTCTTACATAAAAATAGATTTTCACTAATAATTGACATCTATGGGCAAAGTATTCAAGAAATTATTAAACAAATTATAATTAGATAATCGTAATTACGTTTAGTGTTTACTTTAATAATGTATAACACCCGATGTTTATTGGCATTCAATGTCAATGTGGTTCTTGAATAATTGGTAAATTGATATCCTAATAATGAAAGTACAACGTTATTTCTAAAGAGTACTTTAAACTTCTATTTAATGTTAATAGTACAAAACTAATGTATCCTACAAAAAATTACTTTTCAATAGTATTGCATTTTTATGATATCGCTAATATTTTAATAATTTTTAATTTTAATGTTATTGTTTTAAAGATTTAAAAAATTTCAATTAACATTTAATACTTGATTACATCATTAATTATATAATGATTAATTATCAAAGCTCCCTATCACCTCATCATACATGAATTTATTACAAAAAATTTCAATCGAATATATTATCAACTATTTTGATAAAAATCATTATTATCAATTTAAAAAATGCAGCATTAAAATCAAATTAATGAAATTTATGGGCGAGAGTTGATTACTTCTTCAACGTCTACCTTTGGATTGCAAATAGGAAATAGGAAAAAGTTTTCAATAATAACAATTATGAATGAAGATAAAAATAAAATGAATAAACAACTAGTGAGAATTAAAAATAAAACGATGAGTATAATTTTGGATATTTGGGTAGCTCGGTTTACGGTTTAACGTAGCAAATAAATATTCACAATTTTTTTTTATATTCAAATGCGTTAAAAAAATTACAAACAAATAAAACAGAAGCGATATCATAGAAATTTAGAAAAATAATACAAAAGTCTAGCTGTTATATTTCAGAAATATTTTTCATTTATACTAAAATAAATAAATGTATATATATATATATGTATCAAGCAATTTTTTCTTAACAATTATAACAATAATTGAATCGATGAATATTAAAGAACTTATTAATAACATATCATTGCTTCTTTATATAAAAGGGTTATGATAGAATTATTTATTTAAATGGCTATGTAACTATAAAAAATAAAAAACATATTTATTTAATTTATTAAAAAAATTTTCATGTATTAATCGATGAAATATTTTAAATCGTAGAAATTTTATCTCAGCTATTTATTTTATTATAGCGCGACTGATAATCTATATCGAGAATCTAGTAATTATATCTAATAATTATACATTAATATTAATTTTGGAAATCATTGAAGTTGGAGGGTTATATTACATTAAATTATATTTTTAATTTATTAATTATTATTATGTTAATACAGAATGATATTGAATGTTTTATTCAGTATATTCAATATAATGATTGTTGTAATATACTTGAAATTGTGAGTGCAGTGCTATGAGAGGATCTGAATAATTTTCTGATAAGGCAGAAAATAGAGTTCTCGGGATAAATGCTGAGGGAGAAAAGTATTGGGGATTTGAAATCAGAATCGGATAGGACGGGATCGTCATACGATCCCGACCAACGGTTGCATGAGAGTTAGTAAAATGATAGCTATATGATGAGATGTGACAGAGAAATTCGGCGAAAATGTAACGGAAGAGGGTTATAATGGTAAAGCGAGAGCATAAAAGCTTCGACAAATAGCGATGAATATTATTTTCTTGTTATTTTCATATATCTTAAGTAAATATGATAAAATAAACTGAATCAAAGAATAAGTTATATTTCGAAGTATATTTTTGCACATGTTTAAATAAAAATACTGTGCATAATTATCGCATATCTAAAATTTATGAAAAAAATATTTAAGTAAAGTTGTATTTTTATTTATAAATGTATATTTACAATGTCATACATTACATTACTTAAATTACTAGTAAATAAAAAAGAGAGAATATAGAATGTATCACATTGCATTATATTATTTACAAATTTTTGTTTTAAATGCAATATATAATTAATAATTGATTTGATAAGAATCTTAATAAGTAATCAGAGCTTAAAGGATTTTCAATAAAAATGATTTGCTATTTTCAATCGCCAATTTTATAAATTAAAATTAAAAAAATTTGTAAATTGCTATTTAAATTATTTCAAGCTTTAATTATAAATAATGTTAATGCTTTAAAAGTAATTTATTGTTGCTTACATTATTACAATACTTTCAATTTATTTTTACGTTAACTAAATTTTTTATAAACAATATTAAAAAATGACATTTTTGTCTAACAATCTATTTAATTTCTTTACTTGTTATACAAATTGATATATAAATTTGTAATGTTTTAATTTATCCTTATTTCCTTTCCATTATTTAATAATAAACTTTTATTTTGATAACATTATCAAGAGAGTTTATTTTAATTGCTATGTTTGAGCATAAAGTTCAATGACTTAGATATTAGATAATAATATTTTAAATAAATTGTTATAAAATATTAATTTATTCATTAAAAAATTGATTGCTTCAAATTGATTAATTTAAAAACTAAAACGTAATATTATTTTTCAAAACTACTATTTTGCTATAAATATATTTCTTTGTAATTTTCTAAGTATGATTATGCTGTGAATGTTTAACAAATTTGAATTATTAATAAATTTAAGTATTTTGTATTAGTATTTTGTATTATTTTATATTGTTATTATCGTAAATCATTTGAGAGTAGTAATTGTTTGTAAATAGTATCTTAAATAATATACTGTATAGTTTGCTATTATATATATAGTATAATATTTAGTAATATAAAACTATAATATTTAAAAATGATAATGTAATATTTAAAATATATAGTATAATATGCTGTAATGGTAACTTAAGTTAAAATTTTTTCCTTTATTTTTAAATAAAACTAACACTCCTTTATTATATACAAATTAGAATAGAATTTATGTTGAAACATAACATATTTGTTATTAAAAAAATATAACTTATTTTATTATAAATGTAAATAAAAACATAATGATAGATCATTAAAATTATTTAATATATTAATAAATATTTATCCTATTATATAATATGTAAAATTATAACTTACATCTTGAGTAACGGAATATAAAAGGCCACTATAAGGAATATTTGCATTAAATCTTTCTAAGATTTCTGCAAACGTACGTCCACCAGGTGGTTGTTGGATAAATTTCACATGCGATATTTCAACTTCCTCATCGACTGGTAGGCTGAAAGGTCCTAATCTCTTACCACGAGCTATGGGATACATTTTTATATGTACGTCTCTATTGCCAGACGCTCGAACACCGTCTAATAATGATGCCAATAATGAATCTCTGTCGGTTGCAATATAACTACGTATTTGTCCATTAATATATTGAATATTAAATAGTTGAGGATTGTCATTATCACGAACTAAAGCAAAGATATCAGATAGCGGCCTTAATGTGCAAATATTGTAAGTTTGTGGATCTCTCTCTAATAAACATGTGTCCGAAAGGCAAAGGGTCCTACGTTGAGCTTCTGAATGTCTTGATGAATTTTTATGTACAGTAAATTCAGAAACACTTGTAATATGCTCGTCACTACTGAACTTTCCAAGTCGTTGAGCAAAAAAGTCATCAAGTTTTATAGATTCTTTTGGTACTCTTATAATTATACCCAGGTTATTCATTGCAGATTCAACCAATTTCTTTTTTATTTCTTCTATATATTGTGAAGCAAATAAATGCAAACGTCCAAATCCGCCGCATACGATTACAAATCCATTTGTATAGTCTTTTACTGCTACAAGGCCCTCAAAATCTTTATAACAATAACTGGATAGTACCATATTTGTAGCTGGATCTAACTGATCAAGACTATATGAAGTAATTTCCAGTACAACTGGTAATCTTGTATCGGACCAATGATGCTTATAAGCTGCAAACCTCTGAAAGATTAAAATTAATTGGTAAAATATTTATTAGTTTTATTTTTAAGTAATATTTAAAATGTATTTATAAAAATTATTTGACGCTAAATTTTTATTTATAAAGCACTCTTTACTCTTATTTTTTAATAAAAAAATACAACGATTTACCAAAATCTCCTTTGGTTTTTCTGTAAACTGGCTTCTATATTTGAGGGCTTCTGTAAGTAAATCAGATCTATACTCTGAACTAAATTTCATTGTTTCTATTTTTCTTTCTTTTCGCATAGTAATACTAAATTCATGTGAACCAACTTGATTTTTATTAGTTGGTTGAACACTAATAAAGTCAGCATACTCCCACTTATTTGTAACTTCTAAAGTAGTTGGATTATATGTAGTTATACCCATAGAACCAATTGAAAAAATACGTTTATATCTGAAATAACAAAAAATTAAATGTATGAAAATTTTTATAATTATATATTAATTTAAATATAGGAATCAGTAACTCAGTATTTAGAACTTAGTAATTAGTAATTAGAACAGAAAGAATACATAGAAACTAACTTACTTTCCCTTCCACGAGTGTTTGGTGACTAGAAAGCATGCAACATCCTGGTTATCCCTTAAAGGCATCATTGTTTGACGTCTTGGTGCATTTACTAGTCCAATTATAAAATACTTTTACAAATATAAGATTGCAAGTACTTTGAATTATTTACATTTATTATTTAGCAAGCGGTTATTTAGAAAATAAAAGAAAAAATCATATAAATATAGTAAATTGAACAAAGAAAGATAGTTTCGTAATAGTTGGCCTGCAATGCCCTGCAGTACTGAAAATAATAATCAACTACGAACTTTACCGCGCGATTGTCACATTAGACGACCTTTGTGCCCAGGGAGCGGCCATGATAGCTGGCTGCTAGCTCCTGGGGGTGTCTACATACTCGTGTCGGTCAGCTGTTTTTAGATGTCAGCACTGTCAGTTATACAAATAGCTTAAAATTAAACTTAATTCTATAACGACCTATAATTACATTTTATCAATATCGGTCCTTTTATTTTATCCTGGAATAACGATTTATTAACTTTCCTAAAGATTTATCAATTAACAGTAAAGTTTTAAATAAATTGTTTATATGGATTATTATATTCATTACGTTATTCAGTTAAATTCAATTAATAAAACCTTCCAAGTCCATAACGTATTCGTCGTTATGTTTTTAACGTGGATTAGGTATAAATTTACGAAAATGGCTAACTTTGCTAATGCAGGCAAAGTTTAACAATATTTTATTTAATTAGTAACTAGATTTATATGATATATTTATATATTTAAACCTATATGTGTACATATCGCAAAATTTATATTATATAAAAAATAATTGATAACTTACAATTACCATTTATCTCCTTACTCATTACTTATTGTTTCTTTACCTACATAATTTGAAAACAGATTTATAAATGAAAATATTAAAAATGTATTACAGTATGTAAATAATAGTTGTTATATACATATATAAAAGATAATAATTATAACATAATAATTACAAGATAATAATATACTTGATCATTTTTTCTCGGTAATTTCTACAATAAGTACGCCCATATACAAATCATAAATAATATAAGACTATATTTAAACGGTGAATATTTTTGGCTATTTTAAGTTATGATTAATAATTTTAAATAAATAAATTGGTAAAATTAATAAACAGTAACTATGTGTGATATACAAGTTAGTATTTTTACTATTCTAGATTTTCTTTTTTTTTTTTACGATCTATTTATGTTATTTATATGACATCGGTGCGAATAACTTTTAATATTATATTTAATAAAATATATTAGTTACTTTAAATAAAATATTAGCTTATACACTTAAATGTACATAATTAAGACTTATGATGAATTGCAGTAAGATAATTCAAATGATTTACTTTTTCATTTTTTAACATTTTGTGCATAATTTATATATAAAATTTTTTTTAAATATTCCATAATCATATTAGTTGCGCATGCGCGTGGTGTGTATTTAAATTATTTCTATCTGAGAAATAAGAGTATTTGAACATTTGTTTAGAAAATAGATTTATCATTTTAATTTTAATAACATCATCGAAATAATTTTATCAAAAAGAAGTTAAATAAAAATAAAAACTCAGATGATGTTGTAAGTTATTTATTTTTTTTTTTTAATGTGTAGACATATATGTCTCTTTAATTTTTCACGCATTTGACTAAAAATGCTTTGTCGTTCCTTTGGTTCGAAGAAAAATAATGAAAAAAAAAAAAAATTTGAAAAATAATTAGTATAATTAAGAAAGTTTGGTTTTATTTTGAAAATTACATAGATTATCTTTTCATATAAATACATAACGGATTTTGGAATTATGTCAACAAAAGCAAACGTAGAATAAGGAAAAGAAAATAATCCTATAGATATATATTCTCAGTAAATGCGAATCTGAACAATATTTGTGTAGACAACTATGAGTAAATTCTGCGACATACCAAGCCTGCGCAGAACTGTTTTTTTCCTTATTTGCTAATGCGCTAATGGCTATTTCGATTTTATAAATTTTATTGTTTAGAAAAGCCAGATTGCTCAAACGAATGCGTATGTATAATTATAATATTAACAATATATTTAAACACAATGAACTTCAAATTGTCTAAAAAATTCAATGTTATATATTTTACTATTATATTATTTATATTGAGAATAAATTGTACATACGCCACTTTTTATAAATGAATATAAAAGTGTCAAGAGTTATTTTAATGTTAGAGTTATACATAGTTAGTATTATATATGATAGGCGAATCGTTAAAAATTACAATTAATCGCTTAAAAACTTTTACAAAATTAAACAAGTTTATTTTAAGAACATTGTATTTGAAAATTTCGTATATAAGATCAGGCAAGAGTATAGTATCTATCTGAATAAATCTTTTCCTGTCTTTCTAAATATAAAATTTTAATTTACGTTCATTTTTTTCTTTGTATTTTTTTTAATACAAATTTTGTTTAAATCTCACATTTCCTTTGTAATAAATTATGATTTAAATATTAAAAGTACAATATTTATAATTTTATTAAAATATATTGATATTTTATTATAAATAAGCTTTATTATATATATATATATATATATATATTAATTTTTAATTAGTGCTTAATATCACAATAATATTTCCAGTAACTCAATTATTATGATGATCATACAAGGTACAAAATATTTAAATGATTACGTTTATGTTTGTTGACAATTACAATATAATTTTATTAAAATAACTTGAAAAGCATATTTATAATATAATTGCATCAGTATTCACAAATTAGTTAGAATTTTGCAAATATAATACAAATCATTGTGCATTTTCAAATACTGAATATTTATTAACTTTTTAATATATTCTTTATTTTTTTTAACTTAATTAACATAAAATATTATTGATATATATTATAATAGAGTATTTAAAAAGTTATAAAATTTCTGTTTATAATATTTTTTTTTTTTCAGGTTTTTTTTTTTTTTTTTTTTTTTTTTTAATATTTCTAATAAAAACAAAGTCAACTAATGTTCATTTATAAATGTATATAGGCAAAATACAATTTTAAATAAAAAAAAAATAACATTATTACTTGCACTTTTGATTTTTTTTGAAACATTTCTTTTTGCTGATGAACACCAAGGTATATTTTCTGTTTTTCACTCACATAGTTTTCTTTTTTCACTGCATTGCCATATAGAATCTTTTTGTAGGATTTTTTAAGTTGCAGTGATGCGCTAGTTGTGAGAATTTTTACCAACTTCGGCTAACGCTAGTCGTCAATCTCTCTTTTCATCGCTCGTTTAACTCTTTGACATAGTCTCTCGCTTTTCATATCAACTTGTACTTATGCGAAAGAAAATTAGTACTGGGTCAACCTCAGTCTATAAGCTCACTGAATCGTAAAATATCTTTGAATACATTAGATTACATACTTTGTTTAAGGACTTAGATAAAAAGAATATTAAAATTAATATATTGTAACAAATATAAAATATATGTAAAAAAATTTATTGCACATATTTTAAATTATTCCATTAAAGTCAATTAAAATTATTCTACAGCTTAATTCAGTATTGAAATCTTATTAAACTCTAGAGGTAGCATCTAATTGAAGGCATAATACAAATTATATTGTTTATTAAAAATTAATGTTGAGAAATTTTTTCCAAAAAAAATATTAAGTCATTATTTGAATGTTAATCTTTTAAAAATAGTCTATAATGTTTTACATATTGTTTTTGAATGACAAAAATAACATGTATATTAATAGATTGAAAAGAAATCCAAGAATTATATTCATTAATATGTAAAATTACTCTTAAAATTAAATAAGAAAATGATTTTATTATATCCGAAAAAAATAATTTATCTGTGATATATATATATTAGTTTATTATTTTTCAATTAACATCCATATAATCTTTTTAACGGTAAAAAAAGAAAAATTAATTAATATTGACCATTTATGATATATTATAAATTTATTAAATATTTTAATTATTATTGTTAACAATGTTATTATTAGATTATAGTTAACAAGCCACTTAAAATTTATATTGTTGAGAATCTGTCTCATTTCTTTCTTATTTTATTTTTACATTGAAATTTTTTATTTTATTTTACTTAAGAATTAATTTATACGCTTAACGAATTTAAACTTATTAATGAATATATTGATCGTTATATTATTTGTATTATTTGCATTATTTTTAATATTTAATTCCTCTTAATTCATTTTTCCAGAACTAGAAAGATATTATTAAGATATAATTAGAATTATAACTTAATAAAAGTTCCGAATTTGCAGATATAATGTTTCATAAATTTTTAATTCATTACATTCCAATTAAATATAGGCATTGGTACTTGAATAATTTTATTTGTAGAAATATTCACTCTCTTGTATAAATATAATAATACGGGGCATATTGAACATTAATATTTTTTTACTTTTAATTAAAAATTATAATTATAACTCTAAATAATTTATTTTTTTAATAAAATTCAAATCATATTATTTTTTATTGTAATTGAAAAATAGTAAATATTTTAAATTATAATTGCAGTCTCTGTCTTTATTCAAATATAAAAGTATCATTTACTATTTTCAATTCTTCGATTATTTTTATATTACAAAATACAGACAATATGTCTAAAGTAATCAATTGAAAGTATATTATATATAAAATTTTTAATAGTCATGAATAATTTGTAATTATGTTCTATTTATGGAATTCAGTTGCATGGCTTACGTCATTTATTTTTCAAGTTAATATTAAATAACATTCAATATTTTATCAACTTTGTTTTACCATCTCCTAAGTGGACCATTATAATTCCTATCAAGTTATCGTGCTTATCTCATATTACACTTGATCAAGCTTTAAATTTACTGACCGAGTTAATATTTTTGTATGTATATTAATATTACTAATTCTATCATTTCTTAGTGTTTACAGATTAAGTGTATATGTGTAGTTAGTATTTCAAAATTTTATATTATTCTGATAATATAATTTAATATTTATATTTAAGGTTCCTATTTCTAGCATTGCGTCATTCCTCGCTCCATTTTCTACTTTACGCACGAACCATAGTTTATTTTTACTTTATACATAAAATATTGAGCTTCTATAAGTTTTATAATTATGATT